TCGTCAGCAGTTTCGCCTGGAAACTCAGCCAACATTTTACCTTTATCAGGGTTCCAGGGGAACAGAGCTAGGAAGTGAGTCCAAGATCACATTTGTCCTCGGAGATGGGGGCTCGTTAACTACTCACATGTTGGTGTCCACCTGACCATTTGGATAATTATTGGATTTCTACTGTACTGAGCTGTCGTGTATCTAAATGCCAGATATAGAGACTTGAGTCTGACAGTATCTTAGCAGTTAACTGACCCATGCTGCCCGCTTCAGGAGTCCCCTCTAGGTCACCGTCACAGTGCTTTGCGTGTATCCGACTTCCATGTTAGCAGTGATTAAAGTGAAAAGGGCAACGTTACTGGTTTAGTCATAGAAAGTGTTCCAAGTAAACTTTCTTGGTAACGATAACAACAATAACAACAACAAAAGGTACTCTGACATTATGCTCTTAATTTAATTTATATCTCTTTCCAGATATGAACCTGAAGATTAAAAACGGAAGAAAATTCCATGGAAGCTGCCACCACACAAAAGCATAAGCTGTTTCTCACCTCAGGCATGTATTTTGAAGCAGTTTGTTATATTTCCTCTCTTTATTTTTCTAATATTTAGACTTCGCTTCTAATATTTAGAACTAGAGTTCCAATTTGCAGTCGCTTAACTGAGACGAGAGAGACTGACAGATTCCAGTCAGTCACCTGAGATTCCCCTCTGCCCAGCTCCAGAGTCTTGGTTCAAATGCACTGAGAGTTCTTTACAGTAAAGAAGAGACTTTGGGGTAGGAAGAAGAGTCTTATCCTTTTGCATTAGTATAAAGAGTATACCTTTTTAATAAATGTTAAAGCTAGTCATATCTATACTTGTGCACCCCCCAGGGTAAATATGAATATGGAGTTATTAAAGATAGTTATTACAAATAAACCTTATTTTTAAAATGAAATCTAATTCCTTTTCTCTATTTGATCATCAGAAAAATACATGTATTTATTGAAAATGTGAATACCACCTTTTATAGGCAGCATTTTTACCAGCGACAAGGAAAATTAATAGTGAATGTGAGAATTCGATTAACTACTTCAATCTATCTAAATGCTGTGTTTATCAGCGGAGGTTCAGACATTTTTTGCAACACGGCTCATGAGAATACTGATGGAGAAGTCAGGTACATCCTGTCCTTCTACGGTCGAGGAAGCATCTGGAGTCAGAATAAACGTGCAGTAACCCCTCTACCCGCGGTTTCGCTTTCCGCCGTTTCAGTTACCTGCAGTCAATCTGTTATTTCATTAAAAATATTAAATGGAAAATTCCAGAAATAAATGGTTCATAAATTTTAAATTACACACCGTTCTGAGTAGTGCGATGAAGTCTCGTGCCATCCCACTCCATCCCGGCCAGAACGGGAATCATCCCTTTGTCCGCCTATCCACGCTGTGTACACCACCTGCCTGTTAGTCACTCGGCAGCCATCCTGCTTATCAGATTGACTGTCACGGTATCGCAGTGCTTGTGTGTTAAGTGACCCTTATTTCACTTAATAATGGCCCCAAGGCATAAGAGTAGAGATGCTGGCCATTCAGATGTGCCAAGGAGAAGTGTAAAGTGCTTCCTTTAAGTTAAAAGGTCTGTACGTGTAGGAAAAAACAGAGTATCTGCAGCGTTTGGTATTGTCCATGGTTTCAGGCGTCGATTCAAGAGTCTTGGAATGTATCCCTGGCGGATAAAGGGGGGCTGCTGTGATGTTTACATTTCAGTTTCCAGAATATTTTTTAAATTACGTGTTAGATAAGAACACTTTTATATGCATCATAAAATCAATGATCAGATCTCAGATTCAACTTTTGATTATAGTTTACTTATGCGCATCAACAGTAACTGCATTTTCAAGAGGTTTTGATTATACCCTTTGCATCGGTCCTGCTTTTTTTGAGTGATTTGGATAAATCATTAGAAATTAGGCATCGTGTCTGCAGTTGTGTAATGTGGTACTATGCTGTAAGATAGTAAAATAAAGTCCTTAAGCAGTAGTGCCTCAGAAGGAAAGCGCTTTTCACACATTATTTAGAAAGTAATTATTCCCACTTCCCAAAGCTGAATGTCATAGCCTATATGAACACTAAGATAATTCCATGTCCCCAAAGGATGATTTTATTCACCGTAAGAGTTTAACGACCAGAGGGTAAGGCTCGTTATTTTTATTTAAGCTTTTAAGATTAGTCTTGAATTTGTTATTTTTCTTGTCTTTATGTTCAAATATTGAAGGAACAAATGAGAAAGGCTAAGATGAAAGGACACAGAGGCAGTCTTAAAAAGGTGAATTAATCAGGGGAGGCGGGAAAATCCTCTAACAAGCGTGCGTTTGCTGCATGCTCCTTCCCCACCTCACTGTTTAGGTCACTTCTCAGTTTCTGTGTCCTTTTAGGGCTTCACTGAGCGTTCCAGTTTCTCCCCATATTTCTTTAGCCCAAAACTGATACTTTCTCTTAAAATCTGTTCCATTATTTACGGACCAGGATACTCTATGTAATTCAGAAACAGAATTCTCGATCGAATGGCTTAAGTGTATCCTTCAGAAACCATTCAATTATTTTCTCCCTTCATCTTTCTTAGTTTGATGATGCCTGTAGGGAAGGAAGATACGTTGAGAAACTTTAATTGCTAGGGAGCATTTCAGCTTGTCTTTTGGTAGCAACTTTGAAATATTCTGTGTGGTGTGTCCCAGTTCAATAAGGAATTCAAAAGTATTTCTGAAACCTTAAAACCTTAAAATTGTTCCTACATTGAAATAAACAAATATGACATTCTTTGACATAAATCAACATGATGATTCTTTCACATATAAATGCTTTCTATGCTCTGGTTTGGTCACAGGTATGTGTGTCTGTGTCTGTGTTTGTCTGTCTCTCTGTGTGTGTGTCTGTGTGTATGTTTTAACTCATGCCGTTAACAAAATGCAGTTTTAAAATTTTAGTTTTTAAATATTTACCTAGTTTAGGATTTATGTCATTTAACCAAGAAAGAAAGCCTTTTCCGTCTCCATTTTTTGGTTTTCTAGGAATAGTGTCCCAAGCCTCGATTGCTGATCTTTCAGCGTAATCAGCTACATAGACTGCGTTGGTGCCTTTGGTCGAACTTAAAAATTCTAGGCTTCTGCTCAATTATGACCCAGACCTTTGGTTGACAATAAAATGTAAAGGGTTTTCGTTACTAATTTCTTCTGTTCAACTCTTAAGTGTTTATTTCTTCTCACTGTGTGTTACATTTTGAGTCTATACCAAATATATGTTGAATGATCATTTGCTTATGTCTTACAACTCTTTCTAAGGAAAATATTGCTCTACGTTGAATTTGTAATCCTATTTGATAAAGCCTTTGCTATTTGTTATTTCCATTCTGGTGAACTGAAAAGGATATATAGAGATGCTTACTTTTCTAAATGCTTGCTACCTTTAGACATATTGGATTGCAAAAAATCAGAATTAATGATTTCCTTCTACTTATGTGTAAATGCTTATATTCTAAAGCTCTGCTATTAGAAATTCAAGATATGATTTCTCTCAGAGCTTTCAGAAATAACAGCCACTCAGCAAAATATTATTTAGTATTTAGACAAAATAATAGTATTTAGACAACGATATTTGAACAAAACAATATGTAACTGCATGGAAGAAAAGATTTCAGTATTTTACAGATAAAAAACTACTGATGTTAGACAAAGCAAAATTGAGACTTGGAAATCCTTCATCATTTAAAAAAAAATAACAGTGGGCCTGCTACCTTATTAACAGCTCGTTAGATAGGTTTTCATGATCACTTAGAAAAGAAGCTTGCTGCCACCCGGAGCCAGCATGGGTCTCCCTAGAAAGGCACCATAGCAGACCGAACGCATTTGTCTTCCAGCAGAAAGAGACATAGCATGTCAGGAGTTCAGCAAGGTGCCCGGCAAGACCTACTTGTTGAAAAGGGTCTCACTTGGGTTCTCCCAAACGCAGGCCTGAGGACAAGGAAACGGATGCAGGTAGTTTACTGGGGAAGTGGTTCCACCGAGCAACTGAGACACGTTGAGAGAGGAACCCGTGTGGGCAGCTGGGGCTCAGTCCTGCTGAGGACCTCCTGAGACGCTGTATGAAAACATCGCCACATTCCTCCACTGCCTGCTCCAGCCCTCCCCTCGCCCTCGGCGAGCCTTTCTGCTGGTCAGCGTTGCTTGCCTAGCGAGCTCGCTTCCTCTCTCACGGGTCTGAGCCCTGCTTATTTACCCTTGTCACGCTGTCAGTTTCATGTTGTAAAACTTCCCATCTGCTGCTGTTCCCAGATGTCACCAAGAAGCCCGCCATGAGTCCGCCATGGACATCCAAACGCAACAAAACGACTCTAGACACAGACTTTATACCTTTTACAAAAATTAACTCAAAATGGATCACAGGTCAAAATGTAAAACATGACACTGTCAAATTCCTAGAAGATAACGCAGCGGAAAACCTAGATGACCTCGGGTATGGCGATGACCTCGGGTATGACTTAGATATGACACCAAAGGTGCGATCTAAGTGATCATGAAAGAAAGAATTGAGAAGCTGGGTTTCATTAACATTAGAAACTTCTGCTCTGCAAAAGATAATGTCAAGAGGCTGAGAAGACAAGCCACAGACTGGGAGAAAATATTTACAGAAGGCACAGCTGATAAAGGACTTTGCATATTATCCAAAACATACAGAGAACTCTTAAGACTCGCCAGCAAGAAAATAAACAACCCGCTTAAAAAATGGGCCACAGATCTTAACAGACACTTCATCAAAAAAGAGGTACAGCTGGCAAATAAGCGTATGAAAACATGCTCTATGCCGTGTCATCAAGGAAATGCAAATTAAAACAGTGAGTTACCAGTACACATCTGTTAGAGTGGCCAAAATCCAGACCACGGACACCCCCAAATGCTGGCGAGCACATGGCACAGCAAGGACTTCGCTCGTTGCCAGTGGGAATGCAAATGGCACAGCCACTTCGGAAGACAGTTTGGTAGTTTCCCACAAAGCTGTATGTACTGATACCATTCGATTCAGCAGTCATGCTCCTTGGGGTTTTCCCAAAGGAGTTCAAAACTTATGTCTACACAGAAACCTGCACGTGAATGTCTATAGCAGCTTTCTGTATCGTTGTCAAAACTTGGAAGCATCCAAGGTGTCCTACAGTAAGTGACTGGATAAATAGACTGGTCCATCCAGACAATGGAATATTATTCAGTGCTAAAAGGAAATGAATTATCAAGCTATGAAAAGACATAGAAGAGCTTAAATGTATATTACTAAGTGAGAGAAGCCAATCTGCAAAGGCTACAGACTGTATGATTCCAACTACATGACATTCTGGAAAAGAAAACAGAACTCATAAAAAGATGAGTTCCAGGGATTGGGGCAGGAGGAGGGGTGAACAGTGGAGCACAGGCTTCTTAGGGCACTGAAAATACTCTGTAGGATACTGTGATGGTAGAAACACGTCATCATACACTTATCAAAGCCCATAAAATGCACACCACCAAGAGTGAACCCGAAGATAAATGTGGACTCTGGGTGATGATGATACGTCAGCGTAGGTTCATCAGTTGTAACAAATGTTTCATTCTGGAGGGGCTGTTGTCATCTGATGAGGGAGACTGCATTTGTGGGGACAGGGACGGGGAGGGTATGGGAACTGTGTCTTCACTCAATTTTGCTATGAACCTAAACTGCTCTTA